ACAGTGCCTGGAACATAGTTAAGTACTAAATATGTTTGTTGACAGATTCAGAGTCAGGCTTTTAAATCAGGTCTTCCTGATTTCAAGGCCAGCATTCTATCAACTACTCTATCTTTCATAGGCATACCACAGTGATAAGACTTCATAGTTCAATGGGATGCAAAATGCTTAAAAACAAGATTACAAAAAAGTTCCCTCAAACTATTGTAGAAAGACAACATCTAGCAGTTTACTTGACATATTTGTACAAGACCATTTTTTTCCCCAAGGTGTTTTTATAAAGCACCCAAAAAAGACTTAAGCAAGCTTCAGTTATTAATCCACATAGAGAAAAATTTAGTTAAACCAACTACTGTTATTAATTATTGCCTCCACCTTTGTTAATTATTTTTCTTCAAATGTCTATCAACTTTCTTCCTACTCACCCACAAAGCTGTAATGCTATTTCTAGATTAAGAAAAACGAACCATTCCCCAGACCTCCCCCTCCCCTTAAGGAGCAGAATTTGTGTATTACAAATTTACCTAAATTCTAATCACCATCTTACAGATGAAGCACAGATCCAAGCTATAAAATAAAGTTAAGAATGCACTGGTGAATTATGTGCAAAGGTCAAGAAATAAGCTTTTAAAAGAAACTAAATAAAGAATAAGAAACAAAAATAGGATGTGAACCAAGAAAACAATGGTCAGTTGACTCCTTGGAAATTAAGAAACTAGCAGGGTTCTGTATGATCTTAAACAAATCCTGTCTCAGGCACTCAGTTGCTAGTGCCTTCCCCCAAAATTACTTTGTATATATTTTGTATTTATATACGTGCATACCTGTTTCCTCTCAATATAAGTTCCTTGAGGAATGGAACTATTTTTGTCTTTGCATTCCCAGAATATAGCACAACATGGTGCCTGGCACACAGGAGGTGCTTAATAAATGCTTATGGAATGAATGTAAAATGAGAGATTGTGGATGAGTTACTTAACTGTTCTCTAAGGTTATGTTTCCAGCTCAAATATAGTGATTCCACTGTTACCTTGTTTCAACCACAGCCTTCCAGATTATCCCTGGATATCAGGACAGTTTGGTGAACTCAAGAGATGCTTGACTCTAAGATCACTTTCAACTCTAGGATTATATAATATGTCAAGCATCAAGAAATAATTCACTTACAGCTCAAATACTATACAATATGACTACTATCAAAATCTTCAAATTCTAACATATTTTCTAAACTTTTCATATAAATAATTGATTCCTAGAACCTTAGAAAAAGGTACTGATTTATCCTTGAAAGTTAACCTCCAGATGCACTACACTTGTATTACAGAAACAAACAGCAGTATGGATAATACAAAACAACAGAAATACCTTTAGTTACTCAAGTTCTAACTATTGAGGCAATAGGTAGATATTATGTTTCCAAATATATTTTTCTTGAGTCAATATTAAAATCAGCATTTTCTTTGCACAACAACTACAGGCTCAGAAATGATAAAAACTCTTGGTAGAAAAAGTTTAAAAATTGAAGTCATTGGATTACAGATTTAGAAATGTAAGGGATCTAAATGATCATCTTTTCTTCTCATTCTACATACAAGGAGACTGAAGCTGAGAGGTCAAATGCTTTGCCCAAGAAGCTTAGCGGCATCTAAACCCAGTGTTCTTTCCGTAACACCAATATACACTCAGAGCTGAAAAGGCTTTTCCAAATGACAATCATTTACTTTTCAGTAAACTACATTAGATGGGCTTCAATCAAATTGAGACCAGAATCTGGGAAATTGAACAAAGAAAACACTATCAATGAGAAAAATAATTATGGGGATGTTGTTATTCACACCCATTCACCACTTCCAGAGCATTCTGCTTAAAGTACAATTTAGTTTACAGTATGAAAATCAGTTGCCATGTTACAGTGGCTAGGAAAACAACCTGAATGAAAAGAAAACATTACTAACTTCCTTAATTTTATCAAGTATTCCTTTCAAATAGAAATCTTTGCTCCGTCAAATACAGACACTAGATCTATTTTTTTTTTTTAAAGATGGGAGGGGAGGAAGAGTTTTGTTACTGTATACCAAGCTTACAAAACTTAGTAATTTTTTGGTAAATAAGATTTCGCTCAATGTTTGGTAATTTTATTCCAATAATTCATAAATTAATGAAATCAAATATAAGAAGCAGAAGTGAAAAGTCACTCCCAGAACTTTACCTCAAGAAAATAAGAGTGATTAAAGGGAGCTATCAGTTCCAATTTAAAAAACTCTAAATCACTAAAGACTAGCAGATTCCTACAGAAGTAAAGAAAAAAAGCTATAGAATTATAGATTTAGAGCTGGAAGGTACCTTAAAGGCCAGCTAGTACAACCCTTTCATTTTTTAAGAATTGAGATCCTGAGACATTAAGCAACTTGCCTAAGGTCACACATGTATGACTGAGATGGATGAATACAGATAAGGATACTTATCTTCTCATTCCAAATTCAGAGCTTTCCCCCTGGACTGCTCGAACTGTAAAGAGCTGGAAAAAAGCTAATAGATATCTAGTCTGGCTCCAAATCACAGGTTAAAAAAAAAAAAAAAAAAGGAAAAAAGGATAAACGATGTGCTTTAGAGCACATAAAGTGGAAGTGGTAGAACTGGGAAGTGAACCAAGGTTTCCTGAATTCAGTGTTCTTTCCACCACACCAACAATCTACCTTCCCTGCTGGGCTGGGAATCTGGTTAGTTCCTGTCAAGAATTTAATGATCTTGGTCAAGCACAAATTTTCTCTGCGTGAAAGATGATGCTAATAACCGCCTCCCCCAAATGATATTGTGTTGTGATCTCTGAGCACCTTACAAAAATGGACAAAAAATAACTAAATAAAAATATACAAATAAAACTTACTTTGATGAAAATGTTAAAGATGTTTGGCTGGGCAATCACTACCATTTATTCCCAGTAGGATAAAACTCCACAAAATGCCCTTTTCCTCCTTTTTGCTTTTCATGTTAAGACAGATGAAGCCTTATCAATGAGATTCCTCCTAAGATTGGATGACCCATAACAGGTCTCTTCCAATTTAACTTAATCATAATATTTATTTTATAAATTCACATCCCTAAGAAGTCACAAAATCAAAAAGAAAAAAATTTTTCTTCAAAAATCAGAAAACCTGAAGCCATTAGTCTTGCAAACTACACTCATTCTAAAATATGCCTTTTGGAATACTGATTACTCTCTTGATTTTTACCCAAGTTTCATCTATGTACATGTTCTTTCTCCTCTCTCCATCGCATTCGTCACTAAAAACTAGTTTCAAAAACTTTCTGAACATGCAGCTAAGTTAAAAGATAATTAACTGAATATCTGTTTCTTGACCATTTGATTCCTAAAACCTTATTTGCAAATTTCCTCAACTCAGATTAAACCCTTGGCTCTCAAAATGGAAACAACTCTATGCTAGATGAACTAGAGATTTTGAGAGCAGCAATGGCAAGAATTTAATAAATTACTTCCTAAAAACCTGGATTTTTAAACTGTTGCAGTAATCCAAAACTCCAACCATTCTATGAAGAAAAGCTACAATTGAATTAAGATGGGCATTTTAAAATGTGAGATTACAAAACGGGTAAAGTTTCATATATGCAGTTGAATTTTCTAGCCAAAGACCATTCCATATTCTGAAAAGTACCCCTTTGTGATAATTCATGCTTCCTTTACAATGTTTTCAATCAAATGGATGTTATGTTATGTGTTACTCTCCTGGACCATTTTTCTGCTACACTCCACTAGTATGTCATTTCAATAAGTGTTGAATGCCTTTGAGGCATTAGTTTTATTTTTAAAGAAATTTAAATCTAAAGTCTAAAACTACTATTCAATCACTAAATTTTAGTCAGAAGTTAGTACTAAACTTAATTATATCACAGTGAACAATCCTCCCAACCTGGAGAATAAAGAAAAATGTTAGACCTTGTGCCACCTCAAATATAAAATTCCAGAGGTGAGGCATTTTCCCTTTGTTTTCCTCTTTTACTTCCAGCATGTGCATGTGTGACCCACCACCTACACACCTTTGAGAAACTACTCCCAAAAAACTTTTTAAGATCTACTAATCTCATTGAGACTTAAGTAAAATTGTTAACTAAGGCAGGAATACCTACCTCGCCTACAATTTTAAGGTAGGACATTATCTCCTAAAACTCCACAACAGTTCTTTGGGTCAACACATGCAAAATACCTGTTAGATAGTAACCCTCCTCCCTGCCAGGAAACTGCAGTGTTGGGACTGCACCCTACTGTCTCTTCGGGATATCAATCACATTGAAGCCTGGAGGGGGAACCGCAAATAAGTAAGTTTCCCTAAGGGAACACCACTATGTCACGGTGACACGGGCAACTGCACTATGTCAAGATAACATGGGTCCACTGTGGGATGGATTACACGTGGCCAGTACTACCTACTCTGGGCTACAGGCCACATGGTGCCCCCAACTCGTGGTCACCGCCACTCCCAGGGTGCCACCTACCTACCCCAAATGCACATGGCGTTGAGCCACGGCAGGTCATCCCAGGAAAGCCAGCATTGAGGAAATGCCAACCCAGGAGGGTACACCCCTCCAGGCACCCTCAGGCAGTAACGGGGTCACTGGAGATGGGTGGCCCGGGGATGAGCCAGGGGAACCGGGCATAAAACAAGAACTTCCTGGAGCGAGGGCCTGGTTATTCCCTGTTGCCAGGAAGCCCGAGGGGCGCCCAGTGGCCTGAGGGGATGGGGGAAGGGAACGGATAATTTTGGGAAGGGGGCCCTCAGGCTTCCCATGAGGACCCTGAGGAGGAGGATGGCACTGCAGATCCACCCAATGGGGCTAGAATTCAACCCTCCCCCCACGGGGCGCGTGCCCCGCAGGCCCGGAGGGATGTGGGGAGGGTCGGTTTCCCGCCCCGTCCACGAGCCGCGGCCTCTGCCTCCCGTCCTCCTTTCAGTGGCCTCCCCTCGGCGGGGTATCACACTCACATTGTGTATGGGGTGGGGGGGACGGGCGAACAAGTGGGGTGGGTCTCTCAGGCGGCAATGACGGCTCCGACTCCCCTCGGGCGGGCGGCTCCGGCTCTGGTGCCTCCTTCTCCTCCGGTCACGGCCTCTCCTCTCCCTCGCTCTCTCCCCTCAGGCGGCGGTGGCGGAGGCGACGGCGGCGGGCTTGGCCTGGGTCCCACAATGCACCGCGCGACGAGAGAGGCTCTTCTGTTCGGGGAGAGGAGGAAAGAGTAAGAAGAGGGCGCGAGGAGGGAGAATGAACGTGTGCGTACGAGGGGCGGTAAGGCCAGGCGAGGCAAGGTGGAGGTGGTGGCGGTGGCGGTGGCGGCGGCGGCGGCAGCGACAGAGGCGGCAGCAGCAGCGGCAGCGGCGGCGGCTAGTGACGCAGCAAAATGCCCGGGCCCCTTCGCGCGTGCGCGCTCCTGGGCTTTCGGGCGCGAGCCCGGCTTTCTAGAGATCTCTATGAGAAGGGCGGAGTCTCTCCCGTCACTCTCCTTGACCCCGCCCACTATGCCCCACTCCCCCCTCCTCCCTGTCTTTCTCCTTTCCCGCCTCTGCTCCCGACCTCACTGCTGCCTCTCGTTGGAAAGCCGTTGGCGGCCCAACTGACTGGGCTCGCGCTTTTGCGTGATCTCCCTGGGAAACCTCCAAGAAACGGGAGCGTGAGGTCGGCTGGGCAAGCCTAGCTGGGAGGTGGTTGGTCCTTCGCCTGCAGGCGGGGCCGGACTAATGGCCCCTCTTCCCAGGCTCCCCTCCCCCCACCTCCCCCCAGGCCGAGGCAGAGAAAAAACTAGGCCGTAGGAGAGTTGAGTCGTACCCCTCCCCCCAGGCCTGGGCCAGCGCCGTACTTCCTCTAGGAGGGAGAGCGGGCCGCGGGCCAGGGGGAGGGGGAGGTGGAAGGACTTGTCTTGGGGGGGCACGATCACTTCCGTCTGCCCGTTCCACGCAGGGCTGGGCTGGCTGGGCTGGCCGGGCCGGGCCGGGCCGACCCCTGAGGAAGAATTTGAAACTTAGAAGTGTGTAAGCCCCTGAGGGGGAGGTACTCTTCCTTTATATCCCTGAACACCCTGTCACTTAATGAATATTTACTGAATTGAATTAGATTGAGAGGCAAATGAACACCGGGATTCTTCTGAGGATGAAAGGAAGACCGGGTGGGCACAGATTTTTATACTATCCCACCATTCCCTTCACTCCATTCATTCACCCTTTCGGTGAATATTTATTAAGGATCTGCTAAAAGCCAGGTCAAGGATGTATGCATAGTAGTTGAAATTTCATCTCCTATAAAGAGGCCGTCCTTGAAAGAAAGCACTCGTAATCATTTGAAAAAAAGAAAGTTCCAACTCACTAATAAAAGAAAGGCAAATTAAAACAATTTATTTCACTTTACACCTGTGTGATGGCCAAGAAGATGAAAAAGGAAAATAGCAATTGTTGGAAGGGTTATGGTAGAACAGGTACATTCATACACTGTAGTAGATTTTTGAATTTCCTCAGTGTTTGTGGAAAACAACTTAGAACTCTTTTCTCAAAATTAACAAACTGTATATGCCTTTGACCCAGAAATACCATTAGACTATTAGACCCTAAGGAAGTCAGACACTAAAGGAAAGAACTCACGTGTTCAAGATTATGTAGCAGCACTTTTTGTTGTAGCAAACAACTGGAAACAAAACAGGTGAATATATGACCAAATTGTGATGTATGAATGTAATTGAATATGATTTCTCCTTGAGAAATAAGGAATATGATCAATTCAGGGAGCCTCTGAAGACATGTATTAATTGATACAGAGAGAAATGAGAACCAGGAAAATAATTTAGGATGGCAATAATTTGGAGGAAAACATCCTTGAAAGAGAATTCTGATAAAAGCAGTGACCAATGATGACTTCAAAAAACTGATGATGAGGGGCAGCTAGGTGACAGTGGATAGAGCACAGGCCCTGGATTTAGGAGGACCTGAGTTCAAATCCGGCCTCAGACACAACACTTAACTAGCTCTGTGACCCTGGGCAAGTCACTTAACCCCATTGCCTAGCCAAAACAAAAAAAAAAAAACAACCTGATGATGATATATACCTTCCAATCATACCTTGGCAGAAAGGGGATGAATTAGAGATGCAGTAGAAGCTATACCATCTCAGACATGGCCAATATTGGTTAGTGATTAGTAATAGATATGCAAAAAAAAAGTATTTTTGTTGTTCAGTCATGTCCAACTCTTTTGGACCCCATTTGGGGTTTTCTTGGCAGAGATACTGGATTGGTTTGCCATTTCCTTCTCCAGCTCATTTTACAGATGAGGAAACTGAGGTAAACAGGGTTAAGTGATTTGCCCAGGGTAACACAGCTAGTAAGTGTCCGAGGCCAGATTTGAACTCAGGAAGATGAGTCTTACTGACTCCAGATGTGGCACTCTGTCCACCACCTAGCACAGGTAACTTTTTTTAAAGTAGGTTTTTTTTTTTAATGTGTATTTAACCCCATTTTCACCCAAGCCTGGGGTAATTTTCCTGAGGACAGCCCTCTTGGTGCTGCACAGCATGTATGTAACAAGATATAACCCTGAGAGAACCTGAGCTGGAGTCACTGAATATAATATATAAGGGAGACATGACTTCAACTTGTTGGAGCACTTCAAGAGAGAGGCAGACTTTTGGATGGCAGACTTTTAAATGGTGGACTGATGATTTCTTCAGAGCCACAAACCTGGGGAAGCTGGCCCCCATCATGTCCCTGGTTTCCCATGCTTGCAATCCTAGAGATTGCTAAGAGTAAATTCTTCCGTTTTCCCCCTTAGATCATTCTGTTTGTTGAGCTGAAGTTTTTATCTTGCTCCCAAGTAGCTTCCATTTATTCTGATGTATTGTATTGTCTACTGACTCTAATCTGTATAACTTCTCTGGTTTCTACTTACTGCCTGTTTTGATAAAGTACATGCTTGTCTTGATGGTCTTTTATATAACTAATATTTGATGGGAGGGAGCTAAATTGGTATTAGTCAAGGTGTTACTTTCCCTTGAGAGCAATCAGGGAAAGTGTCTTTTATGCTAAACATCTTCAACTCATACCCCTAGAGTATTTGATTCATGGTATACATCTAATTCTATTCCTATATCTGGAAATATGAGATTGGAGAAGAGATCATCCAGCCATGAGTATCCTAGAGCCCCTTCCTTGCTAAACTGATGATGAAGGCAAAGCCTTCTTCCTACTCTTTAAGAGGAATAAATTGCAGCCTCTCTCAGAGATAGAGTGGATCAGATCTCATATCAGAGAGCTCTCTATGCCACATGGGCCAGCATGACTTTATATTATACAGCCTACCCACACATATTTTACACACAGACAAAAACAAAGTACAGAAGGGGATACAAACAAAGCAATTTTGTTTAACTGCCTTATACTTATTATATAGAATAGTGATAGGAATTAGACCTATTATTTCTTTGGGATAGGGAACTCCTAGATATGGAAACTCCTGCTAACGCAGGTAGACACACCTCTGCAACTTAATAGTCTTAGGGTGTTGCTCATAGAACTGAGGTTAAATGACTTGTCCAGGGCCACTTGTAAAGGAATTCACAGTTTAACAATCCTCTTTGTTATTTATATATTAAATTGTTTGTTGATGATTAAATTCATGGGGAAAAAAATTGTGTCCTTTCCTCACCTTCTCCCATGGATTATTGACCTCTGGATGCATTGAGCCTTTATTGTAGCATCTTTCTTATCACAAATCAAATAACTATTTGTCTTTGACAGCAGAATTTCTTGGCATTAAAAACAGGTATATTGATTTTCTTTTTAATGTTAAAAATTATCCCTTGTTCCATTTCCTATTTGTTGAGTTCAAATCAAATGTCACCTGTACTGCTTCTAGTCTGTAGCATATAGTTTGGATGAGATACAAAGATAAAAAGCAATTTCCATGCCTATAAGGAGTTTACAATGTAGAAGGAGAGATATGACTAGTACAAGAGGTTTTGCTATTTAATAGCTGTGATATTAGACAAGTCTTTTTACCTCCTCTGGGCCTACTTTTCATCATCTGTAAAATGAGGATGTAGGATTAGAAAATCCTTGATAATGGGCCCTGCTAGTTCTAAATCTATATTCCTGTGATCCAATAACTATCACACAGTTTAATGTGGTGTATGTACAGGATATAAATATTAAGTGACTACTATGTAGAAAGCATTGTGCCAGCTACTGGATGAGATACAAAATTTATCGAAGGCAGAGTCTCTTCCCTCATGGAGCTAATAGTCTAGGTCAGGGGTGGGGAACCTGCAACCTTGAGGCCACATGTGGCCCTCCATGTCCTTGTGTTTGGCCTTTTGACTGAATCCAGGTTTCACAGAACAAATCTCTTTATTAAGGAGATATGTTTTGTGAAGTTTGGATTCAGTCAAAGGGCCACACTTGAGGACCTAGAGGGCTACATGTGGCCTGGAGGCCACAGGTTCCCCACCCCTGGTCTAGTTGGGTATATAGGACATATTCTCAAATATCTATGGTACAGTTTCAACAAATATACATGATGAGGAAGGAATTCCTTGTAGTAAAAATAGCATGAGCAGATGCATGGAGGGAAGGCTATATTTATGGAACAGTAAATTGTTCAGTTGATTCAAGTAATGGGCTGGAAAGGAATTAACCCAAGAGGATTTCAAATTAGGATTAGCTCTGGAGATCATCCACTCCAACCCCATCATTTTACAGATGAAGAAACTAATGTTAAGGCTAGATCATATATGACATTGAAACTTACATGGGCCTTTTCATAAGTTCTGACTATGGAGAGAATTCCTAACCAAACAAAGGATGTATCAGTTAAGAAATGCTTCAATAAATTATGGTATATGAATGTAATAGGATATTATTGTGTTGTAAGAAATGATGAAAAGGATGGATTCAGAAAAAAGCCTTGTAAAAAATAACTTGTATGAATGGATGCAGAATAAATTTGAGAAGAGCCAGAAAAACAATTGATACAATTATACTTCACCATTTCAATGCAAAACAACTTAGAAAGACTTGAGAATTCTGATAAATGCAATGATTAACCAAGAGTCCAGAAGATTGATAATAAAGCATTTGACTTGCCTCTTGACAGAGGTGATGGCCTGTAGGTGCAGGATAAGACATCCATTTTCAAACATAGCCAATGTGTGGATTTATCTTGCTTGACTATATTTATTTGTGTAAGGAGGGTTTTCACTTGGAGGTAGGAGGGAATTGAAGACATGGCGGAGAGTATTAAAGATGGAAACCAAAAGGAAATAAAGGATCAATGAAACATTTTAAAAATACGCAAAGGAGAATAGAAG